TGGAGCCTTATTTTTTGCCATTTCCTTCAAAGCAGCCTGAACTTCTTTCATCACCATAGGCTCTTGCTCATATGTTGTTTCATGAAATTCTTCTGTGTATATGTGTCTATGTATGTTTATATGTTATACACACACACACACAACATACTATCTTGGTTGGTTTTTTTATTTAAGCCTCTTGTTTAGAGTGAGCAAGACTTGGGGAGGGCCTTTGTATTTAAAGTCGGTAGTTATTATATTTTGGAGGAACATTCTTCTAAGTAGTGCAGCACTCTTCTGTCAGTATGCTGTACTGAGTTAACCTGGAGTTGCTGTGATGTTGACCCTTGTGCCATTGGGGTGTCAAAAGCCGTAACAGTTTCTCATGGTGGACAGTGTTTGGAGCTCCCAGTTTAAGAAAGGTCTGGAAGCAGGAGTGGCATCCACTTCTTAAACCACATGCCTCTGGAAACTCTATGAACTTTGAGACATTACCATAGTTATAGAAAGGCTTCAGGCCTTTTGTTCACAGGGTCTCTATGAGTCGCACTCGACTCAACAGCAAGCAACAACAACAGCTAAAAAGAGTAAAAGAGGAAAAAGGTAGCTGCTGAGACTGCTTATAACTACATCCCTCAGGTGATTTGTTTTCTTGATTGCACTTTCAAGTTGTGGTTTCATGGAACTCCCAATTAATAACTTAATAATGTGTTTAGTGATGTTGTTCTGCATCCTAATTTATTACATAATAACCTTGGCTTTAAAAGCTAACAAGCAGTTGATCTATACCCATTCTGAGCAACAGAGAAAGAGAGTAACATTGTTGTTATGTACCTTGAACCTGGAACTGACCTCAGAGGTTTTCAGAGGCAATATATTGCACAGGAGGTGTTTGCCCATCTTTATTCCATCAAGCAGCTGGTGGATTCACACTGCATGCCTTCAGGATGAGAGTGCAACTAAGCACTGGGCTACCAGAGTCAGGAATAGGAGGAGGATATGAAATGTGTGACTCACTCGCTCTGTGAACACATTTGCCTGCTTTCCCGTGATTCCACAACTACATGGCACCTTGTTACCATTACCGAAAATTTTGAGCAAAGATTCTGTAGAGTAATTCTGATCCAAAGAGGGCAAACACAGAATAGAATTTCAAATGGTCCTGGACTCTAGACTTTCTAGAACTATGAAGTCTGGATGAATTATTGAAAATCTAAAATGATAGATTGGTCTATAAATATTGAAAAGGGTCTGCCTTGAGCATTATGCTACTTTAAGAACTGTTTCTATGGGATCAGAGGACAGCAGTGACTGAAAGATAGGAACCTCCACGAGCAGTGAGTGTATACACGTGCTAGAGGAACAGCTCAGGGAAAGGAGGTGAAAATAGTTTCATGACTCGAAAAATGTAATCAGTGTCGCCAAGTTGTGCACGCATAAACTGTTAAATCGGTGTGTGTTTTTCTGAGTGTATTTTCAACTACAACAAAATAAATTTAAAGGAAAGTGTTGTATAGGCAAAAAAAGAGAGAAAAATCTTTGCCCTCAGAGACTTGACATTCCTTTGAAAGGGACAAATAATAAACAAATAAATATGTAAAGTATGAAATATGTTAGAGGGAAACATTAAGGTATGGAGAAAATAGGGAAGGTTGGATTATAAAGGAGGGAGTGTGCAGTTATAAGTAACAAATCCTCTTGCCTAGAAGCCAATGATAGTTTATAATGACAATATTGGATGAAGTGAAACTACCCAGAGTACCATTTCTTTCTCCATAGCAGTGCCTACTGATTTATAACCACTGACTGATTACATGGCCAAGCGCTTAATCACTCCACCACCAGTGCTCTTCGCAAGTATACATAGGTGATCCAAAGTACCTATGAAATAAAGTAGCAATGATATAACATCTATCAGTATGTAAAACGGAGTATTTTACGACTGTTTCAATTCTTTAAAAATAACATCTCTGTACTCCCCCCCCCCCCCATTTCAGAACAACAAAGTCAGACGTTTTGCTTTTGAACTTAAGATGCAAGACAAAAGTAGTTATCTTTTGGCGGCAGACAGTGAAATGGAAATGGAAGAATGGATCGCCACTTTAAACAAGATTCTCCAGCTCAACTTTGAAGCTGCAATGCAAGAGAAGCGAAACGGAGACTCTCACGAAGGTAGGTCTGTCTGGCTCCACCAGGTGTGTGCGCTCTCTGAGGGTGTCTCTGTGGGTGAGTATAGGAAGGAGATGTGTGTATTATGCACGTATTTGTGTATGTTTGTATGTCTGTGTGTGTGTGTGTATGTGTGTATATACACACAGCACACACACACACATATATATACAGACCACATGAACATGAGAGAGAATATATGTGATCACTTTATACATATTTCATCAGCAAATGTGATTTTCTCACACTAGACTTCCGAAACCTGATATTGACATCATTTTTATAAGGAAATGCCTTTAACAGAGGCTGTCTATCTCTCTCTTATATATCTATCTATATCTATCTCTATATATATCTCATATTTCAGCTGTGTGACCTTGAGCAAACAACTTAAATTTTTTGAACATCAGTTTACTCACTTGTGAAATAGGAATAAAACAAAACCATTGTCCCAGGGGAGCTCTGGTGGCCTAGTGGCAAGGAGCTGCAACTACAATCCCAGAGGCGCACGGTTCAAATCCACCAGATGCTCTGCCGGGGAAGGAGGGACAACCTCCTCCTGTACGAGTCAGATCTGATTTGACGGTACACTCACACAAAAAAAATAAATAAATTTAAAAAAACAAAAACAAAAAACCATTGTCCCAATAGGAAGGTTAAGTAAGATATCTCAGTTGCTTGGGGGACATAATCAACCCTTAAAAGAGTTACAGTTTGTTTTACTAAAATCCTTTGGAATCTTAAGACACTGAGTGGACAGAAGCCTTAAATTAAATTGCTAGGGAACATCTGGCTGTGTCTTGACAATCCGTGTGTTATTTCAAGCTCTTAGACAAGAGATTGTCAATGCTGACTGCACTCTAGAAAAGTCTCGGAGCTTTTTAGAATAGACTATTGCCTGGCTCCATCACATACTTGAGTTTAGTTGGCCTGAGATGAGGCCTGACACGTAACTTTGAGCAGATTTGATGAATGTGGCCATATTTTTTACAGCTAGTTGTTGGTAGCTGTGTCACTTCCTATTACTCTGATGACACAATGGTGTCTTTACCACCTATGACATATTTTACTTATCACTTCTAGACCTGGGTGTATCTTTCAGAAGATTCCCACGAGTTCCTCATGTGCATCTAGAATTGAAAACCCACTGCATGACAGGGGAGACAAAAGAGGGACACTCCTAGTCATTCTGCTTTAAATAAAAGACCTTTAGTAATTAGTGACTCAGGTCATCTGTTTCACTCTTTTAGATGATGAACAAAGCAAATTGGAAGGCTCTGGTTCCAGTTTAGATAGCTACCTGCCTGAACTTGCCAAGGTAATGCCATCTTAAATCTTTTACTCTTCATAGAATGATACTGCTACTTTTTTTCCCTCATTTTGTTAATTTTTCCAAAACGGAATCTATTGAATATTTTAATAATATTGTAAAACCTGTGAAAACCAGAACTGGATGGGACTGCCTTGTTTTTCTTGCCTGTTTTCTCCCTTTAACAGGTGTGGTGTTAGCATTTTATTGCCACTCTCTTTTACTGGAAAATATGAGAATTGTCCTTCTCTAAAAGATTTGTGCCTTACACAGTTCTAGCTTTCAGAGGCTTTTTACTATGTACATTGTAATAAACCACCAATGATTATATTATCCTGTTTTCTGACCTGAATGTGTAGTTATGTCCAGTACATTTACTGAACAGAGTCAGACTGCTGTCTGTTCTCTGGAAACTATACAGAGTGTTGTCTGTTTTGTTATTATTTGTATTTGTGTTTGTTAATTTCTCTGCTGTATTTAATACTGCCTAAGTTTTGACCAAAATACACAGGTAAAATATCTCCATTTCATATTTATTCACATGAACAGTTGAAATTCCAAAGAGGTTTGTTCTATAGTAATTGTGTTACTAAGGCAGATAGGGATTACTTGACATCTTACTTCCTGGATCATTCTTGATAAATGAAAAAAGAAAACTTAAAAGTCACAGAAAAGCACTGTATTGTAACCAGCAGTTATTCCACTACCCAAATTCAGTATCTGTTATTATTGCTTCTTTAGAAAAGAAAGAAACATCACTTACTATTTTTCTTGATATCATTCTTTTTCTCCCTTGAAAAACCGAGCAGAGACAACCACTGTTAGCCATTTTCTGGGAAAACTGTTTCACTTTCACAATTAAAAAAATACATCTATCATAACTGTATGTGTGTGTATGTATGTATGTATGTATATGTGTATATATATATGTATATGTATATAAATATTTTTATATTAAAAATGTTGCATAGAAGGCTGTGTAAAATATGTACTATTCTTCGTTTGCTTTGCTTTTCACCTCATCTTTGCTTTTGAAATATATTAGAATTTTTACATAGATCATCCCTTTTACTGTTTTAGATAAATATCTTATTGTAACCATTCTATAAGTCCCATTATTTTCTATTACGAACAATGCTACAGTGAGTATCCTTGTCCCCATTTCCTTGTGTGCAGTGATGAATGATTCTTTTTTTAAAAAAAAATGAGAGCAGTATCTTTGTCTTCTCTAGCTCTTTATACTCTATTACCACTTTTCTGTTGTGTGTTTTTGTTTGAGAATATGTTGAGTGACCCTCAAACCCTCACACCTTAAACACTATAATAGAAACATAGTTTATCTATGTACAATTATAAATAGAACAGCATTCAGCCTTGGCCTTTATTTTATAACAACAGGACTATTTTAAAATACAAAATTTTCCTCTCTGGCTAGGAATTTTGAGCATTGTTTTTCTTTAGAATTTGGCTGCCACTGCAGTGACTTTTTAGCACCTGCCTATTAAAGATCATTTTGATGTCAACATTCTAACCTCTTTATAGGGTGGAAAGAGTTGTTGCCTGTGTGCTTGTGTTGTCAATGTTATAGCCTTCAGGGTGTGTGTGTGTGTGTGTGTGTTTCCTTGAGATTTGATTTTCTTGTTTCTGGGTGTTTTAACGTTCATAATCTCTTAAAGCAAAGTGTTTGAACCTCTTTTGTTTTGATTTGTTGAAGAAGCAAATAATCTCATTCAATCTAGAATTGGGAAAGTGTCTTTCTGTACCTACTGAGGGAATGGAATGGATACCTAAGAGAAAATTCGTGTTGTTCTTCTTTTTAAGCTTAAATATTGATTTGATGAATGAAGAATTGTGTGAAACACAATGCATATGAACTTTCTAAGCAAAATAATATAAAATTAAAAAATATATTGATTTAGAAATCTGTCATCTGTTCCTGTGAAGACATGGGAGTTGTGTGTCTCTCCTCTTTTCTCACTTCCTGCCACCACCAGGCCAACATGTGTCAGTATTCCTGGAGTCTAAGACTCAGGGAGAATTTTTAAAAAGTAATGACTATATAATTTACAGTTATATGATGTCTGTATAACTTATATTTAGAGCCATTTTAAACTTGAAGATTACAGCCAAATTAGCCAAAATCCTGGAATGAATGTAGTGAATTCCAGCTTCTGCTTTTTATTTTCTTTGTTGTGCTTAGTTTTTGTCCTTTTTTAAAAGATATATCACTTACATAGAGTAAAATACTAAAGCATTAGTTGTTTAACTCAAAGTTACCAACGGTAGATGGATCTTGACCTAAAGCAGAGAGTACCAGAGGAATGTCTGTGTTTCATTGATGATGCAAAGGCGTTGGACTGTGTGGATCACAACGCACTGTGGCTGACTCTGAGAAGAATGGGAATCCCAGACACTTGACTGTGCTCATGCGAAACCTATACTTGCACCAGGGAGCAGAAGTGAGAACAGAGCAAGGAAACGGCGTGGTTCAAAATCAGGAAAAGAGTATGTCAGGGATGTCTCCTTTTCAATCTGTATGCAGAACAGATCACTTGGGAGGCTGGGCTTTCCCCTTGAGACATGTACCGCACACGTTCTTCCTTTTGGAATTTTCTAACGTCACATCTTTGCTCATTTCATGATGACATTTCAGTCTGGCTTCTCTGTAATTTTCTCTTCAGGGCTTTTACTTCATTGTCTCTTCCATTCATTTCAATTTCAAGTGCAATATTCAGTTTCTGCTGATTCTCATTTTGGTCTTCTCTTTCTCTCCTTTACATTTTGCTTTCTTCTCGTCTAATGTTCCTGATTTCATCCCGCAACTCATCTAATCTTCATCATTAGTGTTTGTTGTTGTTGTTGTCGTTGTGTACTATCAAGTCAGAACTGACTCAGAGCAGACCCTCCAGTGAGTTTTCAAAGGCTTAACTCACACGAGATTGCCTCTCTCCTCTTACAGAGCAGGTGGTGGATTTGAACCGTGTGCCTTCAGGATTGCAGCTCAAATTCTTACCATTAATGGTTAGGACATAAAATACAGTGTTAAGGAGGTCTCTAAGTTCACGTAGGATATACTTGAGGCCATATTTTGGCTTGCTTGCAAGGATTTGTCTTCCTTTTCTTCAGTTTCTACTTGGCTTACATATAAATAACCAGTGTTCTTTTCCACATTCTTCACGCCTGGTTCTTATTCTTACAAAAGGAGATACTGAGATTCTTTACAGAATACTGAGATAATTTCTTTCACCAGATGTAGTTGATTTGATTTTCTGTAGTCCATCTGGGAAATCCATGTGTATATTCAACATTTATGGTTTTGAAATAAAAGGTATTGTCAATGATTAGATAGTTGATCTTACAAAATTCTCTCATGTCATTTTTAGTGCCTTTACAATCACCAAGAACATAATTTCCAAAGCGGAGAATTTTTGTTTCTTTCACATTCTTGCCATCAGTGGTTGGTGTGTAAAATTTGAATAGCAGCCACATTAACCAGTCTTCTCACACGTGTGTGGATATTATCCTATTGCTGACAGCATTGTACTTCAGAATAGACTTTTGAAATATTTTTTTAATGGTGAATGCTATTCCTCGTCAATTCACCATTCCCAGCATAGCCGATCATATTATTATCTGATTCAGAATGGCACATGACAGCCCATTTCAGCCAAGTAATTCCTAGGATCTCTATCTTCAGGCGTTCCATTTCAATTTTGACAACGTTCATTTGCCCTAGATTTGTACTTTGGACATTCCTTGTTCCAGTTATCAGTAGCTTTTTGTTTGAGTCATCCCAGCTCAATTAATGCAGTTCCCCACCGTTTTACTACACCTTGTGAGGATGGCACAGGATAGGACAGGGCTTAGGTCTCTTGTTCATAGAGTCACTATGAGTTGTACTCAACTTGATGGCACCTAACAACGACAACAGCACATCTTCACAGTCAACTCTACTTTGAGGAGGCAGCTAGCTTTTCCTCAGTTGTATTTTGAGCACCTTCCATCCTCGGCACTCATCTCCCCGTCTGTGTTGGACAGTGTCCTCCTTCTTACACAGAAGGTTTTCACGGGATAGATTTTTAGAAGTGGGTCGATCACCCTGCTAACTAGTCTGTCTTAGCTTGAAAATTCTGCTAACAGAATTTTAATAATACAGTATTACAAGATCATTACCCACCCCCCCCAACAACTGTTGTTGTTGTATACTGCAGAGTCAGAGTCAACTCCTAGCTGACCCTCCAGCGGGTTTTCAGAGGCAGTAAATCACATGAGAGGAGATGGCCTGTCTTTTTCCTTCAGAGCAACTAAGTGGTTAGAACCACTTGCCTTCGGAACTGTAGTACTGCTTCTTACCACTATGCCACCAGAGCTCGGTTTAAAATAAATTTAATAAAATGTTCTAAGAAACAGAACAGAAAATGCAGAAGGTAATTTTTCAAAGAGAAAAAGAATATAAAAAATAAAGTGCCATTTTCTAAGTATCCTGCTGTCCATTCGTAGGGAGCAGTTCATCTGTGTTTGTTGTGACAGGGATACCTCATGCCCAGTGGTGTGCTGTGGGAGGGGCCCGGCATAAGCCAGAGACATCACCTACCTCTAGTCCATTCACAGTTAGAGTCTCATTTGCAGGGTGGGGCTCGGGCTCCTGTCATTTTGTGTCCATGTATGTGGGATCGGAATCATTTGTTCACTGCAATAGGAGACCATTCATTTTTAAAGCAAATGCACTTTGTGGTTATAAAATCAGAGGTTAGAGTATGGAGGAGAAGGATGTGAGGAGTTTGTGCAGGGAGAGGATGTTTAAACTGAGGACTGAGCAGAAAAGGGTCCAATACCAGGAAAGGAAGCTAGAAGAAAAGGTCAGTATAGGTAAGATTTGCAGAGAGAAGACTTAACAGGCAGAAGATAGTTTAAGGTGTCATTTAACTAGCAAGCCCCTTTCTCGGCAGCTCTTTTTCTGCCTCGCTCATCCTGTTTCTCCATGTCTTTTGTTTTCCACTATGACAGAG